TGACAAACTCTAAATTCAAGAATAATCTAGAAATGTGGGGGTTATCATAAATACTTGGGAACTTATGTGAAAAGTTCAAGTCGTGTGGGTACAAAGCTACTAATTGGATACATAACCCTAATTTATGAATTGTAGGGGTAACTTAGTTTAAAGTTATACTTTCTTATACCTCTTAAGAAAATGGAAGGGACACCATATGAGTTATGAAAATGTCATCATCCTTCCTATCAACACTTAAAAGTGTGGGGGTGTTTAGTAAAGGTGGAGATTCCTAAGCCTAAACAAATAAAGATTGGTCCCAAAACGATTGATTACATATTTATTGGATACGCCAATAATAGTAGTGCATATCGTTTTCTTGTATACAAATCGGATATACACGAGGGTACCATAATTGAGTCAAGAAATGTGATATTCTTTGAAAATGTATTTCCTTACAAAGATAAGGAAAATGTAAGTTAAATAAGAGAACATATGAAACTACAAATGGGTCTTCAAATGAGGAGGAACCAAGGCGTAGTAAGAAGGCTAGAACGTCCAATTCGTTTGGCCCGAATTTTCTAACATATATGTTAGAAAATGACTCAAAGATTTCTGAAGAATCAATGTCTATTCTAGAAGCACCACATTGGAATGAAGCTATCAATAGTGAGATAGATTCCATAATATAAATTCATTCATAAATGGGAATAAGACTTAGGGTGTAAATGGATTAAAACATGATGGATCCATTGACAAATATGAGGCTAAATTGGTTGCCAAAGGATATAAGCAGGAAGAAAGATTTGACTTCTTTACCTACTCACCCATAACTGGAATCACTTCGATTAGGTTACTAATTGCAACTGCGACAACACATAACCTCGAGACTCACCAAGTGGATGTGAAATCCGGATTCCCAAATGGTGAGTTAGAAGAAGAGATATATATGGACCAACCTGAAAGTGTCTCCAAGTGAAAGCCATAAAGTTTGTAATCTTGTTAAGTCCTTATATGGATTGAACCAAGCTCCTAAGCAATGACACCAAAAGTTTGACAGAACGATATTGTCAAACGAGTTCAAAATAAATGAATGCGACAAGTGTGTATACGTAAAAAATACACCAGATGCCTATGTGATTGTGTGTCTATATGTAGACTATATATTGGTGATGGGCAATAGTCACAAGTGGTGCTAAACGCCAGAAAAATGCTTGCGAAGTATTACGACATGAAAGACATTAGTGTGCCAGATGTAATACTAGAGATAAAAATCTCTAGAACATCGGAATGAATTGTATTTTCCTAATCTCATTATGTTGAGAAAATATTTAAAAAGTTTGAAGTATTAGAGGAAAGTTCGGTAAAAACCCTATTGATACAAATCTACACTTGGTCAAAATAAGGGTGAAAGTGTGTCACAACTGAGATATTCACAAGTAATTGGCATTATAATATATATTAAGAACTGTACTCGATCGGATAATGCTTTTGCTGTGAATAAATTTAGTAGATTCACGAGTAATCCAGACCATGATTATTATGTGGCTTTGACGGGAGCCCTTAGGTATTTGAAATATACCATGACTTATAGATTACATTTCACAAGATATCCTGTGGTGCGAAGGTATACACTAAGTCTATAGATGAAAAGGGATGAAAGCCCTAAAGTGGATGAAATGGAATGAAAGCCGATCATGAAGATTATTTGGATATACAAGAACAATTGGAATATTAGAGAATATTCATAAAGTTCAAATGCATTGCAATGCTTTAATGATGATATTGAATACCCATGTCTGAAATCCACTAGTAAATAAGATAGACTAGTGTAATGGTTTGATAGAAATCCTCCAATCATATTTGAAAATTGATAAAACTTTAGATAAAGCTAATGAGAAGCATGTAGCTTCATAAGAGGATTTCTTGGTGGTGACAATGTGTGTCTATCAAGTGAATAAATCATTGGCTAGCTAAATTTGATAAGATACTAAGTCACATGTAATGGTAAGTCTAAACGACATAATACCATAAGCAGTTGATCTCATTGGTGTAGACTTGTGGATCTATTTATATATGTTTACCAAGAGATCAAGTATACTGCATATCGAAGAGAATGAGATTAAGCCGACTAAGTAAGAATCCTTATGATGGTAACCCTATCATGATGATTGGAGATACCAAGTTCTTGGTTCAAAGGGACAACTAAGTTATGAGGATTCCATGAAGCACTTTGGAAACTAATTTTTCAACTCATTCCTATGATGCCAAAGTGCTTTCTGCAGAGTTGTTGGAGGTTAAAATAAACTTTTAATGATTCATATATCTTGATTAAGTCAAGTGGAGTAGGACAGAATACTCTTAATAAGATATCACCTATGTAAGTGTGAAGTGGGGTCGCTTCAATGAGAATTATTCAAGACTTGAATTCTCTAAATACTTACAGAACCAAGATGGATTCAGGGTCAAAATGAACCAAGTCATGAGAACGATGAACGGTTTATGGGAGATATTGTGTAAGTACTGTTGTCTTGGTTTACACCAACGGCTGATGGTTCAAGAATATCGCTTTCATCAATTCGCTAGTAATCCGATGGTATTTCACTAAGGAAGGTTTAAAGCCAGAAGCTACCTTACCTAATGCAATGTTTTTGGGTCTCTCTGTCTGCATAGACATTTACATTAATTTTAATTCATGTGGGGGATTGTTGAAATTTTGTATCGAAAATTGGTTGTGACCAATTTTACATAATTATTTAAGTGAAATTCTTAATTTAGTGAATGAGAAATTAAATCAAATGTAAGTCACTTAATACTTGAAATTGTTGGAAAATTGTGAGCCTGTTTGGGCCCGATTTTTTCACCCAAAAAATTGATTTTTTGACCGTTATTTCACTATTCCAGCCGTCATATTTGACTTCTTCTCTCACACGTGGACCCCACTTTTCTCCTAACGGTCAAAAAATCAATTCTCAAAATCACTCCCAAACAGGCTCTGTATAGAATATTGTGGAATATTCTAGAAAAGAGTTGGATGAAAAGATGTATTTCCATATGAACGGTTATGACCTTTGGCATAATCATTTTCCAATAATTATAAATTTCAAGGGGTGTGACTCTTGGTATGGTTGTGTCTTTTGACATACCTTTCCAACAACTATATATAAACCTCATGTGTTTGAATTTTATCATTCAAAAAATTCATGAAAGTCAATAGATGGTTTTATATCATTCCATTCCATACTTACACTTTATTTTGCATTAAACACTTGCATCAAAGTCATGGTTATGGTAGAGAGGGAACTCCGTTCAAGTTCATTGGTCGAAGTAATTTGAAGTGCTCCTATGGCTTGACGTGGTCGTTGTATCTTGGAAGATGATTGCCGAAAAATCGTTAGCACCAATACGGGGCAAATTCATCTTAAGGACAAAGTGTCTAACACTTGCCTCGACTGATCGCATCACTCGCATCTCACCTTAATTCTTTCTTCGTATTTGATTTCAGAAAATTAATAACATTCTTTTGATTTCATGTAGGTTTGAAATAAAGAAAGGAAATAATTGAATCTGTCATTTCATTTTCCCAAATCCATTTTGATAAGACAAAATTACGTTTCGATTTCGTGAACATAAATGACATACTTTATAAATATAATATGCACAATATCCGAATAATTTTCCAACATTCTCGTCACATTTTTGCCTTCGAAAAACATGGAATAGAAAATGAGGAATTAATCTTACAAATTTATTATATATAGAGGACATCTCTCAAGCACCCAAGTGACATGACATAATACAATAGATGATGAAACATAATGATTGGTTACAAAATTAATTACACAACCTAGCTATGTCAGTTTAGAAAAGATAACGGGTCAAAAGTCACAACAAATTCATGTGTGAAAATTCAAAACCTTTGTACCATGAAAGGTGTAAACAATAATTCTACTCATATAAATAATATATTACAATACGCACGTTATAAACATTAGAAAAGTCTATATGTACATAATTATTGCACATAATATTGTCTATAATGTGACGTGATAATCATTCAATTGATGATGTGAAAATGTGATATTTGAATTAAAGATTGGATCCAGTGCCACACGTAATTATAGACATCATTATGTAGACAATAATATACATGTAGCACTTTCCTAAACATTATGCATTCTAAGTAAATTAACCATTGATATTATTTAGTTAGGAATTACCAACTAATGTGCTAAATAATATGAGGGTAACATATGTATTAAATGATATGAGAAGAATGTTTCAGAATACGTTTCAGAGTAAAATGCACATGTCCCGATAATGTTTCAGTCTTTTTACATGAAATTGATGTAGTTTGACTTAAGAAGAAGAATGTTCGTGAAGCGTTTTGAAATAAAATGTGCATATCACGAAAGGATAAATGTATGTAATATTGTTTTTATATAAAAATGATGTAGTTTAACTTCGTCATAATTTGAAAAAGTCCGTTAAATTGATTAATTAAAATGTTTTGTGTATCTATTATTTATATATTTAGTTAAGCTGGTTAGAGCATAAGAAGCAAGAATGTTGTATGAAACTTTGATAACAAAACGAAAATATCATTATGGGCAAAATGTATAATTTTGGATGTCAATAAAGATAAGATGGGTGTTGTAGGATTGTGAATGGAAAAGACTATGTTGACAGTTTAGTTACTACGTATAATATAATAATGAATTAATCTGCAAGTACATATTTTTTTTTTTAACGAAATTGGTACAACCAACTGTCTTCTCGTGATTAGCTGTTTCCAATGTCTTATTGTACCAATTCTATATAGAAAAAATTGTATTTATAACATTGCTCATAATGATACATATGTTACCCTCATGTGTAATTCGTAAAAGAAGGTTGATTTTTACTAAAACTCATGTGAAAAATGAGTTAACGGACCAAAAGCCCCGGAAACTATGTCACTACTCAATCCATTTAATTGACCCAAATATTTCAAAGCCCAACTAATGAAATTTCAGTTGAGCCATAATTGTCCCGGGAAATCAAAACCCGGCCCCTCCTAAATCCGCAACTTCTCCGAAATCCAATCCGTTTATACTCGTTCACTCTTGATCCAAACAACGAGGCTTCTTCAACAATGATATCGTGAATCAGGTAACAATAATGTATACATATGAAGTTAAATTGCTTGAAATTTTTTTATTTTTTTTAGTCCACTAGTTACTCTATCTGTTTAATTGATATTTGTTTTAGGTATTTGATTGCAGCAAATTAATTGGGTGTTAATATATCTGTATTTCTATTACTTTCTGATGACTGTTTTTTGATACCACAGTTTTTAGAGTCATCGATTTTTATGAAGATAAAGCATTTTCATGGAGACTAAGTATTAGTTTAATCAAATAGAGCTGACTTTATTGGATAATTTTTTAATAAGAGTTGTCAGATCAAATTCCTAAAGCTGGCATTGTTGATTTACTGACCACCCATAGATTTTTCTTCAAAGTTTGCTATGAAATTATTAGGAAAATAATGATCAGATCAATTGGATTACATTGTCCTGGATATATGCTGGTTTATTTGAGCACGCTTTTAAACTAAACATGGAATAGAAATTGACATTCTCAATGTATGTCAAGCGGAAGCATTGGCTAGATAATATGTGCTCGGGTGTGTGTGGTGTTGGTTTTGGGGGGTACTGCAGGGCTTGCATAAGGAATACTCATTCCATAGCGTAACAAAATTGAGGATATACATAAGGGAGGGGTTTCAAACTAAAATGAATTATTTTGCTGCTTTCTTTCAACACTTGTTCTTTTGAGCAAAATCTTCAAGGTTAATGGAATACTTCATTTAGTAGTGTGATTTCTTGAAGTTCCTGGCCAACCAACACACTGGTGATCATTTTATTTCTTTAAAAAAGGTAGTTTGCTGGTGTTACTAGTATTTTATAGTTATCTTTTCCTTCCAACCTGATAATTCTAATATGGAGCAGTACTAGACATGACAGACTTGGAGATAATTTTATTCGATGATAAATACCGCAATGGAATTGTACATCCGCGATAGCCCTATGAAGACATGACCCCAAGCTGATACTTGATAGGAATATTGTTAAATACTTGATGCTTGTTCCAAATTCGAAGTGCCATTTATACAAATAAGAATCCTATAATAAGGAAAATTTCGTTAGGGGACTGGAGCAGGCCACCTCTTTTGTGATTCAGTTATGACATTGTTCTATTATGTTGAATGACTTAGTTTCTACTTACACATAACAAAGTGAAAGATTGACCGGATAATCTGTGTGTGGGGGGATGAGGTGCTTCGATTAGGAATATCCATACAACAAAAGTACAGATATACACAGAAGTGAGGGGTTTCAAACTAACATGAATAGTTTGCTGCTTTCTTCCCAAAACTCATTCTTTTGAGCAAAATCTTTGAGGTTAATGGAATACTTCATTTAGTAGTGTGATTTCTTGCAGTTTCTGGCTAACAAACACAGTGGTGATCATGTTATTTCCCAAGAAAATGTAGTTTGTTGTTGTAATTATTAGTATTTTATATTTTTCTTTTCCTTCCAATTCGATAATTCTGATCTAGAGCAGTATTGAAACTGACTTGACTTCAGGATAAAATATATATAATGATATATACCACAATGATTGTACATCCATGATAGCCCTAAGAAGACGTGATCCCAAACTGATACTTGATTAAATATCGTCAATTTTTTAATGCTCGCTCCAAATTCAGAATGCCATTTATACAAATAAAAATCCCATAATAACGAGAGTTTTGTTAAGGGACTGGAGCAGGCTACTTCTTTTGTGCTTCAATTATGACATGACATTTCCGTTATATTCAGTAACTTGATTCCTTCTTATGCATAGCAAGTCTAATAGTTAAATTGTGGGCTTATATTGGTGTTATTGACCTTGATTATATGTGTATCACTTTTCATTCTGGGCATCTCTTGAGTTATGCTAGTGTTAGACTAATTATTGTTATATAGTTTGGATTATGACTAGACAACGAAATCAAATAGGGGGCCCCTTAATTTCTATCCGTCGCTCATTAGCTTGTTTTGTCTTCTTTGGTTTCCTTTATGGTGTAATCTGTAATATTAGTTTAGAAATCGAGAGAAAATATTCTTGGAAGAATTAATTTATCAATCTGGAAAAGGCAAATGATAGCTACAATCCCTTGAGATTTTGGGGATTCTTTACATTGTGGTTTCATGCCATGAAAATCTTGATAGATCTCTAATAATACATACCATCCACAGAAGTATCAATCACTAAAATCCCAGTTCCAGTGAGGATTCAGAAGAAATTCAATATCACACCCATTTCTTCAGGTCCTAATTAGAGAATTAAATTCGGGACGGTAACCCACCATAAATGCTGAAATTATTTTTTGTTCACTCCTCAATTGGACCACAAAAAATTTATTACATTTCAAGGAGAAAACTATTCATTGATTAAGTTTGTTTCTAGATTCATATGTGCCTCTTACTGCATTAATATCCTGTTTTGCTATAGTTATAATACAGAACAACATTATCTGAGTAATGAACGCCAAGAAACTGCATGCTACATTAGAATTAACTGAATTTTTTTTCTGAAGGAACTGCAACTGAAAACTTTTATTCCTCTTTCAGGAATAGTTTAGTTGCAAGGAGTGCGGCGGGAGCGTTTGTGGAAAAGTCGAGTGCTCCGGTTGTAAGGGCTGTGTTCATAATTCCTTGTGGCAACGGCAAAGAGAAGGTTCATATATAATGGGAGCTTTTCATTAGTCATAAATCATAATAATTGGGAGTCAAATAACGTTATAGACTAAATGAAGGAGATTTTACTGAATACGTGTAAAAAATTACCCTTGTATTTTATTCATAAAAATAAAAAAAATAAAAAAATAAATGAAATGAAATCTGATTTATTTTCCTCTCGCAAGGAAGGATTACTAAAGTAGTGTGAGAGAAAACGAAATGTGTCCTCTTTTGGAACTTTCTTAAAAGAGGCTTACATTCATTGGTTAACAATTCATAACTCCGAATTGTTCTAGTTTTAAAGTAGAAAAGTTCTTTCTTTTAGAGTCTTTTACTCAAACAAGTTTAGGAAGGTAAGAAATAACTTTATGGAGCTTAATTTATGAGCTTATTTTGTAAATGAAGATGGAGAACAAGAAGAGGAATAAAAGATCAAAGTTATAAAAATATATAAACCTATGGTTCATGTCAATTCGACCCCATGGAGTAAAGGATTGAGTTGGTCGAATGGGCCCTTTTAATAAGGGTATACTTGACATATTGCGGGTGCATGAAGAGGCCTTTAGACAAGAACTTTAAAGTATGGTACTTTTTCATTTCAAACATAGAAAAGCAGCCTGTCAAATAAATTTCTCCCTCCCCCGAATTATTAGTTTTAAGTTAGAAGATTATTTATTTTCTTATATAACTTCCTATTTTTTGGTCAGACATTTAAATATAGATAAGACTGGTATTTCTAAACAGTATAGACATAACTATAAAACATTCAGTATAACTGAAAGTCCTTTCTAAATTTCTTTCCCATATCTTAACCTAGGATCTGAATCAACTTCCATTGCTTAGTTTTACCTACCTTATATGGAGAAGTAATTTCTATTTGTAGTAATTTCTTAGTTAGGAAGAGAAATAACGGTATAATAAGGTTGCAGGTTTCCATATCTGGTAAAAGTGCTGCAGAGATCATCAGATCCAAAGAATAAAACCTGATTTTAATGGTTAAACTAATCCACTTTCATCAATTCCTGCACCCACTATCTGTCTATAATTTGGGTGTTTAAATTAAAGGAGGAAAAAAATAAATAAGAAATGGAACTGTTATGAAATTTCGGTTCTTAGGCAGGGAACCAAGAACCAGATGGGAGAACCAAAACCCGCTGAACCGGGTTGGTGCAGTTCCAAATAATTTTGGTCAACTTCAAGTGAAATGATCCTCAATCATGTTGTCCTTGCTCTTCTTTGCCCCTAATAGGAAGCAAAGTACATAGATTAATCATCATGCCTCAACGTCTGCTTTATTTCGAAGAACACAAAAGCAGGATTTACCTGCTTTAAATAAACAGTATGGAAGAGGTTTAAGATTTTGGTTAGTTCCTTTTTCAGGATGCTCTACCCCGGGAACAAATCCAGCGGAGACAGAGTGGGAACATAGATTTAACAAATTGGAGCGAAATGCAGTTCTTTATCAACGAAAAACCTGATTCCAAGCGGAAGTCTACATAAGAAAACAAATATTACAACCGGGAATCCGTTCAAATGGGATAGCTGGATACAAGAACATCCTATAGTCATGAAGATAGTATCAAACTCTATTATAGTAGCCCCATTTATTCTGAAGTGAATGACGTGGAGGGGATGTTTATAGAACTCTAAATACAGCAAAGAATTGAGAATAGATACCAAAGCAGCTTGAAACAAATCCAAAATGCACATTCACACTAGCACAAATACTTTGGTCTATCACCTAACTCAGCAAATCCCAAGAAAAATTTGGTTGTGCTGGTTTCATTGTGCTTGATGTTGAAGGGGCAACTAGAAAGGTTGCTGGTGTAGATTCAAAAGTTTCCCACTTTGTAGTTATGACAACATCCCCTGAGGCCGAGCGCCTGGAATGTTGCTGATTCTGCTGTTGCTTTGGTGAATCTATAAATGAATGCCGAGCTTGTTGCTGTTCCACAGGTGATGACATGCTTCCATTAGAAGACCCGTGCAAATGCCCATTTGAATACTTCAGCTGCTGTTGTGATTGGACAGACGTAGGTGAATGTACAGGTGTCTGGTATTCATCGCTTGTTGGCGTTGAGTTTTTAATCTTCAACACATCAAGAGTCTCTACACACCTTTGCACTCTTTTAACCTTCAAATTATATTACAAATTCAAGACACTTGCTCCAAATTCAAAAACTGCATTGTTTTAGCCATAACATAGAATCTAATTTTATACCTGCATTTTCCTCTGTAGTTTGACTTCACCATGGGCTATGATCCCATCCAGTTTAAGCAGTTGATTCATCAATAACTCAGTGAGATTTATTACATCCTTTTCAGCCACTTTTCTACCTTTAGAAATTATGGATTCAAGCTCCAAAACCTACCCAGTTTCAACCATATATCAGTTTACTGCGTATAATCATTGCATTCATTCTATCGACCACTAAGTTATAAATCTATTTGCTTATTTATTCAACAGATTACTAGGTAATCATAATGCATCCCAACAAGTGGGAGTAATGGCCAATTCAGCATGATTTTAAGGGAATAGTGACTTGGGCAGTAGGGCTTGTTTTGCATAAACGTAAAGGGATCTTGTTTACAAGATAACACCTTAGTAGAGCCTTGTTTGTAATAACTGTTAACGGGGTAATTGCTTTAGAACTTTTCATAGTCTAGCAATGGATGAACTGGACGGAGAAGTGGAACAAAATCATGTAGCCGACTCTGTATAACAAAAAAGACTTGCTTTCTTACTATATCATTATTGTACTCGCTAGAAGACTTGGGTGGGATTACCTGTCCAGCAAGTTTATCAACCTCCAAGCTGATTTCGGATATTGATTTTGCAGCCCTTTCCATTTTAGCATTTTTCTTCTTCTCAATGTACCTCTTCTCTTGGCTAATTGGATCCTCTACTAACACAATCTTAGATTTGTCCTTCACTCCTACAGTGTCGAGAAAAACTTTAGAATCCCTCTCTTTATCCTTGTAAAATAGCTTCTGGTCCTGGTGATGCAACCCTGTAGGCCCTGTTAACATCTTCTTCAACTCCCCTAGATTACCAAAACCCAAAAATGAACTTCAATTATAATAAATTAAAATCTGAAAAAATTCAAACGAATTTAAGGGGGAACATCACTTTTCTCTACTGACTATTTATATTGTTAAACTACCTCGCCTAAAAACTTGAGCATTTAGAAGAGGAAACATAATTTTTTTTATCTTTTCTTCAACACATACCTCAGGGTTGGACAGTATTCATGGCTGCGACGGCACTAGAACCTATATACTATGTTGAAACATCTCGACTAAAAGCTTAATCTTGTAGCATATGCATTCATTTTTTGTCTTCTAATACATATTTGTATTGAAAGGAGGGGTTTGTTACTGAGACTTACCAAATGTCGCTTGAGAGCTGATATAGATATCGTGGTAACTTGACCCGTATTTCACACGGACCCGAATAGTGGGGGGTGGAGCTTGATTTTGTTCTGCATCGGTTCGTTTTTGGACTAGCATTCCGCCGGGCCTTAGCTCCCATTCATTAGGGTTGCGGGGGGCGGCGGAGCCACCGTTCATATATGGAACCCCATTAGTTTGAGTCTTCATTCTCATCATGTTGATTATCGTGTACTAACACCCAACTAAATTGCTGCCGACAGTTCAATTTGAAGCGATTTGAACTCAGATCAAAGCATTGACTTTGAATTGATCTACAGTTGAATCATACATAATCCTAAACCCAGAAAATCCCAGCTGCTACAAACTCGAAGAATCTGAACCTCTATATACTATACTTCGCTGGAAAGGGTCGCCGTCCGGTGATATTCCGGAGAGTTGAATGAGTTTCCGATCTCCTAAAAAAAAGCCCGAAATGTATTTAAAAAACTCAATTGTAGTTCGCAATCGGCAAATCCTGAAACTTCCGATTAGCCGGAAGAAATTAACCAAGAAAATTATTGTACATGCAGAACAAAAATGAGAAAACAAATGAAATGAAAATGGAAGTGATTTTTGTTCTCTCTCTCTCTGCTTGGCTGTTGAATGTGTATAAAAGGAGAAGACTCGAGAAGGAAGGACAGAGAGAGAGAAGAAAATATGGCATATAAAAAATTAATGGACAGCGAACAGAATAGAACAGAACCTTGAGCTGAGGATACGAAGATATACAAATTCTGATTTAATATTTAATTTATGAATTATGATTGGGTAATTAAGAACCGACCAAACAAAACCGCCAAAGCTTGTCTTGAAAACAACTGGACATGACTACAGTTTGAGAAAGAACTGAAATTTATTTACGAGCTTTGTATTTAAAAATATTTAATCAACTAAAATAAAAAACAAATTAACTTCTGGTAAATACATCTAAATTTTATCACACCCTGGTGGTACTACATTATCCTCAACTTCTTTAACTAGGAGTTTATTAGGACGAATGAATTATCCAAATGGTTACTGAACTTTGCAAAAAAAATTCACGAGATTATTGAAATTTAAAAATCATTCAATTCATGATTGATCTTTGCAAAAGATTTTCATGGGATCATTGAATTTTAAAAATCACTCTATTCATCATTGAATTTTACAAAAGGTTTCCACGGAGTTAATGACCCCTAGGAAACATTTTGCTAAGTTCGGTGATGAATTAGGTGATTTTTAAAGTTCAGTGATTTCGTAGAAACCTTTTACAAAATTCAATGATAAATTGGATGATTTTTAAAGTTCAGTGATCCCATAAAATCTTTTATAAAATTTAGTAATCATTTGGATAATTAACTCTATTAGACAACACAACTTATATTAGCTTCAATCTCATTGTGCACGCAAATTACTTTTTAATTTTTTTTTAATAATAATATATAAGGTCAGGTCAAACACAGAGACGAGCCGACATGGGCCAGACGAGCCCATTGTTCAAAGCCAGCAAGGAGACGCGTATGATTTATGAACCGAGAAAGCTACAGTAATAGACACGCCAAGAATTAATAGGTTTTATTGATTTGAAGGAAGGGTGTTTTAGGAATTCGAGATGCGGCTAATCATTGTGTTGTTAATTATAAGAGCAGACGTCCTTTTACAGTAGGATGATTGGAAATGGCCAGTAAGCGAATCCGGTTCTTTTGCTTTTGTTACACATCTGATATATGCTTTTTATACCTCCTATATTTGTATCTGTCTGGGAGTGATTATTTCCTTTAAAAAATTAATTTTTTGATCGTTATTTCACTATTTCAATCGTCATATTCGATTTCTTCTCTCACAGGTGAACCCCACTTTTCGCCTAACGATCAAAAAATTAATTCTCAAAATCACTCCCAAACAGGCTCTTGATTTAAATAGGGCAAGTTAAAAGAGAGCTAGTATTAAATTAGTATAATTCTTTTTAATTGCAAAAAAAATTTAATTTTACACGATGTTTTGATAGTGACTTAGAATCAACTTGGTCGAGGTGGATTAAGGATCTATAAAATTTTAACACGGACTAATAGGTTAAAAAAAAAAAATTCACACATAAAAAATCTTTTATGAAAAAAAAAACCTACAAGAATGACATGTTCGATACGATAAAGTGAAGGTATAAAATATAATGAAGAAGGAATATATATTAAATATTATTTGTTATGTTGTTGATTTATGTATTAAAAATGCATTTATTATTTGGGTTACTTTTATTTTAAAAAAAATATCTCACATAAAGTTAAGTGTGTTGTTCCCATTATTTTTTTATTAGGAGTAATATGTGCACCATAATGACCTTATACTCATATTATATAGGTATTTATACATAATTATTGATATATAAATGTTTGTTAACTAATAATGTTGACAATTTCTCCAAATTAAGACTGGTTTCCTCTTTTAACATATCTAAGTTGGAAAATAAAATCTAACTTTATAAAATTTGATCCTTGAGAGTCATATTTCATTTTAACGTGATCGGACAAATGAGAATCGTGTTACTATTTTCGATCAAATAAGTTTGATTGGACAATTGTAATAATGAAAGGTTGATAATCAATTTGCTCTATTTAGCTCGATAATTTATAAAGTAATGAGCAAAATAGTTGAAAACAGACTATACCATCAAGATCAACCAAAAAATTAGGAACTTAAACAGAAGACTTGAACTATTCAAAATAATTCTCTAAATAACCCGTCAAACCCAAACACAGGCCCTAGACGAACAAGGGGTGGATGTGGCGTCCCTCGATTGTCATTCTAGCAAAAACCCTTCTTCTTTTTTTCATGTATTTCAATTTTTTTTTAGTCCCACCTCAACTTTGATCTAAGTCTTTGACCGTTGACCCTACTTTTTTCTTTGACGTGATGTTGGAGTTAATTTAAAAAAAAAAAAAAATTGGTGATAAGTTGGGGACAATTGCCACTCGTTTTAATTACCCTAGCAATCATATTTCGTCCCTATTTGACAACCATTATATTAAAAACTCATTTTTTACATACTTATTTACGATTACAAATACATGCCATAAAATAGTTTTACATGTAAATTCAAATTTTTTTCTACATTTTTAATCACGCATTCTTTGAAAAATGACAATATAAAACTTCATTTTATCCAAATAATGATGGTCAAATGAGGTCTTCCTTACCAGGGTGTTACGGGTCATTCAACATTTCACGCTGAAAACAGAAAGACAAAAAATAGCGATAATTAGAAGGGAAATTTTATGCAAATTTCCCAAACCTTTAATTTGTGTAATTCACTATACCAAGCATTTCAAAAACTCGCACATGAAGTCCAAATAAATGGCTTTTGTTAGTTTGATTGGTAGTTAATCAGAGATTTGACTTTGACCATAATTTTGACTAATTTTAAAAAGATAAAGTTGTAACTTTACCTTTTTAAAATTAAAAAGACAATTATAATATATTAATTATTGAATAAAAAGTCAAAAGTCAAACAAAAAATACACTGCCCGCCACCATCCCCTTGTCCCAAAACCACCGGTGGAAACGATCGACGCCATCGCCACCCAACCCTCACGCCAACATCATTGCTCCTTCCACCACCGTTCCTTCCACCCACATACTGCAAACCATCCATTAACGGAATGCACACTCTAAACTCGCACACAATTTAATCAATTTCTATCAAAATCCCTAATCCACAATATAAATATCACTCTTAATTTGTACAAGTAAATAATTGAGCATAAAAGAAGCAATAGGCATTGGTTCTCTTATGGTATTCTACAGTTTATTTGCAAATGAATTTGGTGCCTGTGAGTTTACTATAACTCAATCTGGAAATGCTTATTGTGATAAAGTTGTTGGGTCCGGTCTTGAGTCTGTTAATGGGCAGTTGATTAAAAGCGTCATTTTTGGCTGTAGCCTAGAGTCTGCAACGGGTGGAAGAGATGGAGGCGAATTTGGAGAGAAGTTAGAGACCTAAGCTACAATCTGTTAGAAGTGTGACTCAAATAGGAGTCTAAATTGCATTAGATTTCTTACCTTTTTTTGGGACTCTTTTAGGGCTAAATTTTATACTATAAATACAAGGCTCCTCTTTCAGTATTGCAGAAGCCATTATTGTTGTGATTCTCTCCTTTCATAGATTGAATAAAATAATATCGTTCCTCTGCCAGTTCTTTTATTTCTTTACTTTAATCTTGTTCTTGGGTTATTCGTGATCTTGTTAATTACTTCAATTACAACAAGTTGTATTCATTAAATCTCAATTCCTACATTATTGGTCAATCGGTCTCAACAAGTGGTATCGAAGCGGGGTTGTTGGTGGATTTTTGGCCTGAAACTGATCGAAAAATCGTCTGAAAATTACTGAAAAATCAGAAAACGAATCTGTCCAATTTTTCAATTTTTTTCTTGATCTGTTTTTTCTTTTTCTGGCCAAACCAGAAAGAATTTGAAGAAACGAACACCACCAGTGGACTCAGCAGGCAGAAACGGTCCAGAAAGGGTCACAGGTCGTCGACGAATTTCCGGTCAGTTGCCGGCGATGGAACTCCAGTGAGGAGAGTGGCGGCACGTGCGGCGGTTTTCGGTGATGGTGTCTTCAGGCAGTTTTCTCCGAACGACAAGACGGACGTTGTGGTAGTGTCCAATTTCAGTTTTAGACAAAATTGTGGTTGTAGACTATTTTGCCTCTTGCACGTTCGGTAGTTTTTCAGTTTTGGGTGTTGCAGGTTGCAAGTTCTTCCTGATTTGATTGAGATTTTTTAGAGATGAATTCGTTGAAGTATGAAATTCTGCTATTGGATCACAATACAAGATTTTCGCTGTGGTAAGTAAATGTGAGAGCTGTGTTAATGCATATAGATCTTGATGATACTTTACTGGGTTTTGATAGGATGCCAGCAAACTTGCCTATGGAGGAGAAACAACGGAAGGATCGGAAGGCTTTAGCGCAAATCCAACTTCATTTATCCAACAATTTGTTGCAAGATGTTTTGAAAGAGAAGACGGCAGTTTGTGGCTCAAGTTGGAGCAGTTGTGCATGACAAAGAGTTTGACGAGCAAACTGACTCTAAAGCAGAGGTTGTATTCTCATCGCATAGCGGAAGGAGGGTCACTGCAGGACCACCTTGCTGTGTTCAAGGAGATCGTTGCAGATTTGAGACGTTGGAGGTAAAATATGATGAACAGGATCTAGCCTTAGTCCCGTTGTGTTCGCTACCCAATTCTTTTTTGTCATTTCGTGATACTATTTTATATAGTCGTGACACGTTATCCATTGAGGAGGTATACGACGCCCTATTCTCAAAAGAGAAGGTGGAGTTGTTGGTTGGAGATCCTGCATCTAGGAATGGGGATGCTTCTTGTTACTCATGGTGATCGACAGAGGGGTAGATCGAAGGTGAAGTACAGCAATGTGTATTGTTATTACTACAAGAGGAAAGGACACATCAAGAAAAATTGCGATAAGTTGCAAGGTAAAAGTGATTTACATGCAAATCATGCGGGGCAATCAGGTAATTCGAACGAGACTAATATTGCTGAAATTTTTTGTGATGATGGAGATGTGATGTTGGCTGTATCTGACGGGAAATCCAAACCTGAAGAGTGGATTCTGGATTCTGTTTGTTCGTATCATGTGTGTCCCAATAGGGCTTTGTTTCAAATGTATGAGACGGTGAACCAAGGTGGAGTTGTCA